CACACACACTCGAACTGGCTAGGTAGCTTTTATGGCAATTACTGTGGTGCATGTGTGAGTGGCTGTTGGACTCATTCAGGGTGCATCAGTATTCAGAGAAGTTCTGTCTTGTGTAACACTGCTGTTGCTTTGTGGGTGTAACCAGCACAAAGCGACAGCAGTGTTGTTGTAAACACAAATCCCCAATGGATCATGTGTGCACGACTAGAGGCCGGTGTTTCTTCAATTGGTAGGCTATTTGTTGTGAATGAAAGCCATTTATTTTCATTTTCTTTCATTGGTCAACCAGGACTCTAAGCCCCATCTTAACCATATAACGAATTGAAGCACTTGTAACATAATTGATAACTACGAATATAGAGCCATGCTGGGAGCTGTGTGTGCCTGTAGTGGTGCTTTGAGCTTAAGGCTAATTTAAGCTTACTAAATATGCTCACAATGGCAATACAATAATTAATAATAATGCAATAATGTAATTCTGTGTGTTAGCATGCTAACATTTGATTATTAGCACACAAAGTACAGCTGAGGCTGATGGGAATGTCATTAGTTTTGTAGGTATTTTGTCATGAACCAAATTATAATTTTAAGTTGATGGTGGTGCTTGAGGAATAATTATTACTGAAGTGACCACAATTCATCCTGAAGGGAACATGATATCTTTATCAAATGTCATGACAATCCAATGGATAATTGTTCAGACATCTCACTCAAAATCACACATATGAACCTCGTGGTGGCGTTAAAAGAAAAGTCAGAGGATCACCAACGTTATTATGATTCATCCTCTAGGGATCATGAATGTCACTGGCTAAAGTAAAAATTCAGATTTGCTGATCAGGCTACATAAACAGACTGGGGATCACCAGACTCATCCCATATCTGTACAGTAATAGTTGCTGAACTGACACTGCCATCCCTAGAGCCACATCTGCGCGGCCAAGAAACAAGCAGTTAACTCAGACGAAGCATGCAACTAAAAGACTTTCCGCACATCAGTAGAGAAAGGAAGCTGACTGTCAACCAACTCAAATAGTTTCCCTTCAAAGACATTGAGTTAGAATTTCAGAGTTATTGCATCACAAACTTGCTGAAGTTTAAAAAAAAACATGGAATAAACAACAACAAAGGCTTAGTCAGCAATGTTTTCTCCAAAATCTGTATGCTGAAATTCTCAGAAATAACTGGGTTTTTGTGTCTTTTTTCAAAATTAAACTAAATCCTTGAAAAAACACTCAATAGATGAAGGCTGAATACAGCTCATTAGGATGTGCAACATGAACCCTGCTAAAAATTTAATGGTCTTGGGTAAGACCAGCCCTGTGTTGTTTTTTCCACATGCTGCAGGGTTACTGGACAGCCCTCGTACGCAAAAAAGCAGAGACTTAAAGAAAGTGCAACATATTTTCTTTAGGACATGTTTGGTGACATTTAGGGGCAGCCAGCACAGACAAACAAATCCCTGCTGCAGCACCAACCCAGACGTCAAGTAAGATACAGTGAGACCTGAGGAGCCTTCAGTGAAGAAGACAAACAAAAAGACATCACAGTCCATACGCCTCTGGAAACACAACTAATAACACTTCCTTCTGTGCCAACAGTGTCAGGCCTCACCAGCGACATATCCATTATTCAGGAGGTGTTCCTCTCCATCTATACCACTGCTCTACTCTTCCCAGTCATCCCCACCATAGATTTATAATTTATCACCCATGCCTATAAATGTTTAATTGTTTTTAGAACACCCGCTGGGGATGTATAATTCAATGTTCTGTGCACCAAAAGCAAGCTTTTTCCATGAAAGTAAAATTACCGAAGATCCCCTGAAAAAGGCAGGGACAATCCTCATGATATTATGTAATACAAAACTATCCAGGAGACTCTAGAGATCTAGACCGGTCTAAATTATTGTCTGCGTGTTGGACGATGGAGATGCAGAGGAAGAAGATTGATTCTTTTATCCCAGCCCCCTGTCTGTCTGTCTGTCTGTCTGTCTGTCTGTCTGTCTGTCTGTCTGTCTAAGCTCTAATTCCTGAGCACCAAAATACAAAGCCAAACTAAACTTTAAAATCTCTCAAATGAAAACTGTGCAACTTGCAAGTAGAAATATAAAAATACTAATTCACCAAATAGAACACATTTTGTTGGATGATTGTGTGACAGCGCACAAGTGCAAAATGATACATTTGTGTGGAATAGAAGAGTTTAATCGGTTGGCTTGCATTGAAATTACAGCATTAATAAATATGCAGGCCAATGAGTCACCCCTATATTGTCATTGAAGTGGTTTAGTGTTGTGCTGACAGTTCCAGAAGATCTAATGTGATCAATAGACCATAAATAATAATTTATTTCCCTATTAAAGCAAGTCCACAAACCGTCTGTCTGCTGAGTCATAATCAAAAAAACTTGGCCCACAAACCGTGCACTTGGCTTTGTGAAGATGCTTGTTCCCAGTAACGAACTGGCACACCCCAAGCCTTGGTATCGTGCCTCCTTAGTGAACTGTAAAGGCCATAAAAGGGGCGGTTCATAGGCTGCATTAATAGTTTGCAAAAGTTTATTGGCAGGCTTTACCCCTGAGAGGCAGTTAAAGGTAATTCATGGGGCATTTGTGTGAGCTGTTTGCGTGATAATGAAGCCATCCCACTCTTAAAAGTCTGGTCACATTTCAGATAATGTCCATCTTTGCCTGTTTGTTAATGTGAATGTCAATGTCACACAGCAATAGAGCAGATGAATCCAAGCATGCTGATTCACAACCATTTTAAAATATTCAAATTCATCTCATGTCTTCTTGCTGACTGACAACTTCTCCTTGCTGATATATAATAATGGTTATTTTAACATAGATAAAAACAGTATAATTCAGACACTAAATGTATTCTTTACATTTTAAATAGTTTAAACACCAAAAGAAGAAGAATTGAATGATTCAAACTTTCATTCAGTCGATGTCCACACAGTGTTGCATGACAGGAGAGAATAATGTTGTAACCATTTTTCCCCACAGATACTGTTCGATTTTAAATTTGTTTCCTAGTCCAGAAAACTGATAGTGACAGCTAAATATTTTGGGAACCCATTTTTCTTTGTCTACTTTGTAGTGAGTTTGAACAGGTTTAAACTGTGATTTATTTTGTTTAGTCAACCTTTATTTGACCAGGCAAGGCATCAAGAACAATTTCTTATTTACAATGACAGCCTGTCGGTCCATAGTATGTTCAGCTGATATTCTGAGCCCTTAATACAAAATAATCTGCGATAAAATATTCATAAAGAAATAGTATTTGTGTACATTTTGAATGATTTTAATAATTATAATGATAACAATAATGATTTTTAGTAATGTGATGTCCATTAGACAGCATCATGTCTGGGCTTCATCCAGCACATTGTTGGTTTTGCTTTGGTTTGTGACACATGCTGACACATTGATCATCAAAGGATTCATGTTAGCTGCCTGCGAGGCAGCAGGAGACATGGGGAAGCTTATCACATATGAAAGAACGTGCTTGGCACCCCACTGTGTTGACTTGCCCAGTGCAAAACATTGTCTCGGTCATGTGCGTGCCTGTAGATTGATCTCCACATGAGGGTGTTTATCACGTGCAAGTCAGTATAGTCTGACTTTATTTATTTTTCCGATTCTTCATTTTTATAAAAATGTTGGCACTTCACGGTGTGTAAAGGTTCCCATTCTTAAATCCACATGGTCCTAAGGTTGCACTGCTGCACCACAATACAATTCTGAATGCAGTATCATGTGAACCATCAATATATAAATGATGGACATCACGTCTCCACTTTTACCCACTGTATAAAAATGAAGCCAAATTATCCTGGACATGGCTGCTGCCATCTTGCGCCGGTGTCCTCATTCGGAGCCAGAGTCTGGCGCTGCGGTAACAAAGTCCCGCCCAAATGCCCGGCAGACTTAATTGTGAGTTCAGCTATCAATCATGATGTGAAACCCCCATTATAGCTTCAAATAACTAATTAAAACCATATCAGGAATATTAACACTTGAACATACATCAGCGTGATAAGAACTACCTAGTTTTTTTAGTTTGGCCCATGTCCCATCTGTTAACATGGAGGCAGCAGGCTTTATGGCCTTTCCTGCAGTCAGCCATCAGGGGGCAATTAAGATGTTTTGGCTTCGCTTTTGGGAAGCTATAATGTCATCCATCGTTATATATGTCAGTGACAGATTATTCCAGTGTATCATATTGTTTAGGAATACATTTTACCAAACACACTACTGCACTACTATAACGGTTGACTTGAAATGCCGGTTGATTATTTAGTCATGAATATTTAATGTCATGGGAAAATACTTGATTTGGAACCAGGGTTTTGGAGGCTTTAAGTTACTGAAAAGTAGAGCAATAGCTTTCTTAATACAGAGGTTGTTTATTTTGCCAGGGAGATTTCAACCTCCAGTTAACTTTTTTAAAGCATTACCCTTGGTACAGTAATTTCCTCACTGTCATTATCTGTTTCTAAATATACTCAGGAGGGTGATGGTGTCAAATACAAGATAACATTACATTTCCACTGTTACATTGCTGCTCTTGTTCTTGACTCTGAATCACATGCACACGCAAGAGCTTATAAAAGAGTTGATAAAACTTTGCCCTGCATGTGTCTTTGTTTTCAGTGTGTCGACACTGAGTTAAAGAGACGAAATGGGTTACAGAGGTCTGTCCAGGTTAGCTGCTCTGTGCACACGTGTTAGCTTCAGCCTACAATTTCATGAGCATAACAAGGATCATCAACATTTTACTGTACATGCTTTTTAACCCTCTGTTGTTTTTACATGCTGTCTCTTATTCCTTGCCTTGCACATACTTTCTCAGTCACTTATTGTCTATGTTTGACCCTTGCACCCTTTAACACAGAACATGCTTTCTCAGAAGAGTGCCTGTCAGGCATAATGAACAGCTGTATGAGTGATATAACCACCACCACATGTGACAAGGAAAGAGAGCTAAGCCATCGGTATCAACACCAGGAGAGCTGGCCTGCAGGAGGAGCATGATGGCTTCAATTTGACCACAACAAGTATGGTAGCAATGTTATTTTACATAGTAATGTCATGTATGTAAAGTATTGTGAATATTGTCGTGGTTCAACTTGTGTCTTATGAGCTAACGGGGTCATGACCCAGATTTGGGGACAGACCTTCTATAGTCCAATCACACATGAGGTGGGTAATCTCCATAATTAAAATGCTTGAAAATCCTTTCGTGAATAGGTTCTTATGCCATTATGCTCCATTATTATTATTATTATTATGTGTGTTAAGTATTTTTCATCAACGGAAAAAGGAATTGAGCTAAATCCTATTGTGCTTGCTAAATCTAAGCTGCTTGCACTGACTAAGGTCCGAAGAGATGACAAATAGCTTACAATGACAGATCTTTTTATTGACTTCTCTAGACAAGTATAAACATTGGTGTTCTGGCACGTGCACAGATGGACCCCATATTATTATATATATATAGCATTATTTTCAATTATGGAAAGGTAGCCTATACTACGATTAACAAAAGACAGGTCTAAATTAAACTTTCCACCACTGGTGAAGCGGCTCAGCTGTATTTGTCATGCACATAAATGGATCTGTCAAATTATGGTATCACTTTCGGCAAAAGCAAGAGAACATGCACTGTGTTATAAGGCATTATTATGAAAATATCAAAAATAACATTAAGTTTTGTTAGTCAGGACCAGTATCTGTCCTTCACAGATGTGTGACAGCCTTCTCTTATTGTTCATTACATGTCTACAATCATATGAAGGCAGCAGGATCCATATGTCATTCTATCTTGTTTAAGGGCATTGGTGCGCATTTTCAAAGCAATGCGTTATCCAGCGTGGATATTTAAATTCAAACATTTGCCACCAGCACCAGGCTCTTGCAGAAGTACACAGACTTCTTTGCTTTGTACACACTAAATTGGTCGGCTATAACTTTTAAGTTTATACATATTAGGCGGCAGCCCTAAAAACGTCCCATCCAATCATGACTTACACATATAATTTGTTACTTCAACCCTGTGTACAAATGATAAATACCATCTGTGTGTTTTTCCCTAGACCTTGAGTCTTGCAGAAACCAGTGGAGACTAACATGAACTCTGAAGTGAAGGCTCAGAAGGAGAGGGTAGCTGCAGCTGCCCCTGATGGCGGCTACGCCTGGTTCATCCTGCTCTCCTGCTTCCTGGTCTTCGGCCTAACATTTGGTGTCATCAAGGCCTTTGGTGTATTCTATGTCGAGATACACCGATACTTTGAAACCACAGCAACAGGAACATCTTGGATTACCTCTATTGCAGTGGCTACCATTCATGTTGTGGGTAATTATCACAGCACTTTTCTTCTGTGTTTATAAAAAATAATATACAAATTCCATATTCTTATCTTTAAAAATCCCTCCACTCTAACCGTGATGTCAAACACAGTAATCTTGAGCTTCTGACTGCTACGTGGCTCTCTTCTACATCTTACAAGACTGTTCATCTCTAGATGCCAGATCCTTTCTTGTGTTGAATGACCGGCTTAATCACGCACCAAACTAATAGAAAATACAATACAAAGATTGCCTTTTGATTTTCAAATGAGTGTGTGGAGAAACTAAATTATTATCTGCTGCAAATATTGGCCTACCAAGGCAGTAAGAGTAAGTGGGATTAATTTAATAACTCTTAAACCTCTTAAAAGTCTTCTGTGGTTTAACTTAGTGTCTATTTTCACTGAGATATTAGTCAGCAGGATTACATCTTCATTACATCTTAAAAATAAATAGGACCTCTTAACGGATGTGAAGTGCATAGTCCAATAGCATTACTGTTTATGTACTGAATAGAATGTATGAATGTCCTGTGCGTCCCTCTGCAGCTCCTGTAGCGTCTGCTCTGAGTGCTCGCTTCAGCCACCGCTCTGTAGTGATAACGGGAGGACTGATATGCAGCATAGGAGTCGTGTTTGGGGCTTTTGCTGGTAACCTGATTGAACTCTACTTAACAGTGGGGTTCCTAAATGGTGAGTGGTGAGAAGTAAACACACAGCAAAAACTCAAAAACATACACACAAAATATGAAATTCACTGGTCTCCTCTGCTGCAGGTTTTGGCTGTGCATTGACATGGACGCCCACAGTGACCATGCTGGGCTTATACTTTGAGAAGAGACGGCCCGTAGCAAATGCCTTGGCCAGCGCTGGAGAGTGCATCCTTACATTTGTCCTCACACCCCTGTTCCAGTTGTTGATTGACAGCTACTCCTGGAGGGGTGCTTTGCTAATCCTGGGGGGTTTGCAGCTCAACCTGTGTGTTTGCGGAATACTGCTGAGGCCTCTAAACACCACCAGAGATGTGACTTGTGAGTTCAAGGCGGAGGAGGAGGGCTTGTCCCTGGAATTGCTAACAAAAGATGACTCGGAGCAGAGCAAACCAAGCTGCCTAGAGGCAGAGGCAGAGGCAGAGGCAGAGGAGCTGAGAATATCTGAGGGGTGTGATCAGGGGAAAATCAAAGCATGTCATGAGGACCCTGAAGAGATTTCAATCATGAAAGTGCAAGTCTCTAACAACAAGACTAAGAGGGCTGAATTTAGGACCAAAATCCTTCGCTACGTAGATTATACTCTCATCACCAATGCTCGATTCATGGTCTACTCAATATTTGGGGTGTTTGCTGCGCTGGGTTTCTTTGCCCCAGCTCTCTTCCTGGTTCCATATGCTCGTAGTAAGGGAATTGAGGAGTACCAGTCAGCTGCACTCATGTCCATCTCTGCAGCGTTGGACCTGTTTGGAAGGGTGTTCTTTGGCTGGGTGGCAAACTTGAGACTGGTCCAGACAGTACGTTCATTTTAATCATTTTGAAAATTACATATTTGAAAGCAAAGGTGTGCCCCAACTACGGTATCTGCACCATGTAGCATAGCGCATGTGATTATATTAAAGTACCAGTGTGTAGGATTTAGTGGCATCTAGTGGTGAAATTGCAGATTGCAACCAACTATATACAATGTAGGAAATTACAGTGGCCGTGGCAGACTCCATGGAAGAGGACCTGCTCAGGTGATTATACACTAATGAAAACATACTTATTAATATTATACTATATATATACTATATATAGTATACTGCCAATAGATCCTCCTAAATGTTACACACTGGACCTTTAAAGGTAAAGTTTGACAATTTGGGAAAATAAGCTTATTCTTGTCTTATTTGCAGTTAGGTAAAAAGATGTTAACCACCACACCTAAAGCCACAAACCAATTAGCTTAGCTTAGCATTAAGGCTGGAAGCAGGGGAAAACAGCTAACCTGAACAAGAACAAAGGTAAAAAAATATATATATATCCAACTGGAGTTCTCTCATTAACATGTTATATTTGTTTAAGCTGTACAAAAGTGTAGAAATAACATTTTTCAGTTTTACATGGAGTTGTGTTGGACTAGATCCTAGCCAGGAGCAGTAACTTCCTATAGACTCTGCTGGTTGGTTGTGTGGCAACCTCACAAGATTCCAGGGGCCTCATCAGCACTGCAAAGAATAGTCTATCACATATGCTTTAGGCAGATTTTTAGGCAGAACCAGGCTAGCTGCCCCCCCGCTTCCAGTTCTTATGCTAAACTAAGTTACTCAGCTGCTGGTTGTAGCTTCAATATTCAGGGTCTAATCTCATCTAACTCTCTTCAAGGAAGCACATTTTGCATGATTTCTAACTATTCCTGAAGAAGCAATGTTCTGCCTGCATAAAAAGGTATATGGGTAGGGAGGGCACTGCCGATGCAGCATCTGACACACAGTCTGTCCCCTGTGTCTCTGTTCCTACCAGGTTCAGCAGCTGACAGCTACAGTTATTCTGCTGGGTACTGTGTTACTCCTCTGCCCACTGGCCTCGTCGTTCTCAGAGCTGGCTGCTTTCAGCGCCGCTTATGGCCTGGTGTACGGTGCCACGGTCGCCATCCACATCACTGTGTTAGCTGAGGTTGTAGGCGTCCACAGGCTCGGAAGTGCTCTGGGGTTCTTCATGCTCATACGCAGCAGCGGAGGTCTGCTTGGACCGCCCATTGCTGGTGAGTGGGAAAAATGCTTTGATAGTCAAATGCAAGTACAGAGTGTACCTACTGTGCATATCAAAAAGAAATGGATTTCAGCTTTGAGATGTTGCTGTAAAATTCCCTATGATCCATTCCACCATGCTAACTGGCTGTCAGCTAGAAATAAACAAGAATCTGCACAGAGTAAAAAGAAGAAGTAGAATAGAATTGTATTTTTTATATTTAATTTGGCAGTTGTTAACATTTCTATTAGCTTTGGAAAAACCCCAAATCATTAACTCAAGGTTACGGTATCAGTCATTTCCATGGACCTCTTCTTCCGTCACATTAAATCTTGATGTGCTTATACATCGTTCTGCATTGTAACTACAGCCGAGTGAACCTATTCAACAAAAATGAGAATTTTACACATTGACATGCAGCACCACCCTTCAATTAATCATGAATTTTGTTGATGGTCCATCTCCCAGGAGCCAAGGATTTTATATTCACTGAGCAACTGTGCAAAAATTATAATATAATGATACTTTATGGTTGTGTTAATTTCATGGCTGATCGCGTCCCAAAGATTCTTTTTTCCCCCTTTAAATTGAGTTTATTCCCCACTGACTTTCCATTCTGTTACTTGTGACATTTGTCCAAGTTCATACACTGTGTCCTACAGAACACGAGAACAACTGTAATACCATAATGGCAAAACAGAGGAGTAGAGAAAAAACTAAAATATCTTGCAAATACCAAATAGGATGTTTTTCTCAGACTTGTTCAAACCTGTGGTGAGGTCAAAGCAATAACTGATGCTTTGACCTCTTGGGGTCAACAGAAACAAGCTGTGAACACCACACTGACATAGTGCCACACTGGGGTTAGGGGGTGCTGTAGCCACGTCACAAATCTGCATAGCTCAATAAGCCCGTTCAAACATGTTAGTGCTTTTTAATTCTAAATAAAGAAATAACCAGCCATTCTGTTCCCTGTTCAGTTGTGTGCTTGTGCGGCGCATATTCCCTATGGCACACCTACACCATATGCATTCCCTATACATAACTGAGACAACTGTACACAGCAACGCGTAAGGGAAATATCAGCTGCTAAATGCTCCACTGTGTTGACCAACTAGTTGCTAACTTTTACTATCTGTCATTTGGTGCTGGGCAGGTAAAGTGTACAGTAGATTTATCAAACCGTTTTCACTGAAAAACATTGAATGTTGGCTGATATGACTGAAAATGACTGATGAGAGTGGTGAGAGTGAACTAAAACCAAACCAAAACAAGAGCTGAAAGACACTAAAATGCTCAGTATAGCTGAGTGTAACTGAGGGTAACTGCCGAGTCAAGTAATAATTATCTTTGGGTTCAGTCATGTGATCCATAATTAATATGAAAATATAAACTTAAGGGGAGAAACATAAAACATCACGAAGATCTTCCTGATATGGTGTTTTGCAAAGATTAGATCCCTCTTCTCTAAGTATAAAAATCTTTCTTGCTTTTCTTGTATATCTACTTTGGGATTAGCATACATTTAGTAAAGAAAATCAGTTGTCAGTGGCTGTTAAGCTTCTCAAATGTGTCAGCTACTTGGGCAATCTTTTTGCAATTATCTTCATCAGTCTATTCTATTGTGAAAAATAAAAAAATACTTAGGCAGCTATTAAACTAAAATGGCAGTTAAAATACCCCTGGTGCTCACATCCAGCAGAATAAAATCCTATTTTCCTGTCCAACATTAACTGCAGCCCCACCACCCACAGCGCCGTCCTGCAAACCAGTGAGCATTTGAACCGGATTACTGAGGTTATGACCCATTTTCACACACAGCTCTAAACAATAGCAGTAAATACAGCCTGAAAAACACCCAGCTTGACTTTGGCACCTAGACACAGCAAACCCTGCCAGAAAGTGCCCTGCCTCTGAGCACAGCTAGCAGTAAATCAGCTGGGGTAACCTCTCCAGCGGAGTGGAAAAATAACACATTCACATAATTGTAGTTTGGATTCATTTGATGGTATTTATGGATTTCTAAGGGGGCTGTCAGTGTAGCAAAAACAAATAATGAGAGTGATTTGAGTTATTAAAGTGTGACAAGCTTCTATTCTTTCACTCTGCAGGGTGCATGTGGACTGGACAGAAACAAATAATTCTCCTGCTCAGTCATCATTCCTAATTTTCCTTTTAATATCTCCATTAACCTCTGTGTAACAAGTTCCTGAAAACCTACTAATTTGGATTAAAGGAATACCACCACATGTAAATGTTAAATTTAAGATAACGCTAAAGGCTCGAACTGACCTCAAATATATTTAAGAGCCAATTAAACTGAAGGGGGTGTTCTATTTATAACTTAACCTGGTCCCTCTGATACGGATGCTATTTCTAACTTATTTACTGTACCGTTCAGTACTTTGAGCACTTTGAAGACCAAAGTTGATGGATGGTGAGGATTCATCAAAGCGTTCTAATTATGTTTTCTTCACGGGAGGACGACACTGGCAGTACCGCCTTAAGATAAAATGAATCTTCCTCTCTTCCTTATCTCTGCTTCAGTCTTTGGCCTTGTATATAATTATCTGTCATTAAATGAAGCCAACATGATATCTTAATTGTTCTATTGCTGTGTTTTGGCCAGCACATGGGCATTCCAGTCGGGAATTATTGTTGTCATTAGACTAAAAGATATAAAAAAGATATTTAAAAAAAGATATATGACTGTGTCAAAGCTGCAAATCACTGAAATTAAATTTTCTCTTTAGGATTCTTCATAGACAAGATGAGTGATTACGGAACAGGTTTCCTCATGGCAGGAGTGGCTCTCATCGTCTCTGCTCTGTTCCTGCTGCTCCTCCATCAGATGAACCGCAGGGGTCAGAGGTCAACCACCAAGAACTGCGATATGCGTACAGACAAAATGGAACAAAGCCCCAGAGCTGAAACCAAAGAGCTGGACATGACATGAATGAAGAAAAAAAAGTGTCTGTGGCTGATAGACGATGAGTTTGAAATGAAATCTGAAACTCAGGTTTAAAAAGTGGAAAATTGCTGTGTAGACTGAAGCAGTGTTTTTTTTATAATGGAGAAATATTAAGACAGTCTGCAGACAGTCTGCAAGATAGAAACTTCATTTCTATCTTGCAGTTGTGAATGCTGTGAACAAGATATTGAACATTTAAATTGGGTTAGTTAATCTTAAAGTGTTCATGTTCTTCCTCTTTAAGTTATTTATTGTTTTGAGCTTTACTGTTTTCTTATTTTAAGATATTGGTGGGATTGTAGTCAAGGGGCAAATAGTGATACTTTTTTAAAATGTGAAACATAAGGTTCAGTCCTCCTCCCTACCCCAGTAATGTATGTAGAGTCCCTAAAGTGTTCATATTAAACATTAACCTGATTTCCTGGAATGTTGGAAAGTCACATACTGTCACTTTCCTACTGTTGATGCTGTTTATACTGTGTATGTGTGTCACTCAGGTGCAAAATGAAAATGTGACTATGGCTCCCTCCAGTGAGAAGTTACTGATATTGCATTTGCAACTGTCAAAACTGCAGGACTGAGCTGAAAAGTGCAGATACATGCAGACATTATTATACACACAGGGAAGATTGGAGAATGTACAGATGTGGACCAAACAACCAAATTACTTAAGTTTTTGGTTCAATGCTCAAACTGAATGCAGTATCCTTTGCTGCTGTTGCAAAAACTTCAGTGTATAAGTAAGCTCTCATTAACTTAAAAGCAGCGTTTCAAAAAATAAGTGTTAAATTACATTCGTGGAACAACAGAACAGAAGTTCTAAATGGTTCAGTGGATCCCAATGCAGCCTGAAAGCCAGTGAGAAAAGCTTTTCTTCATTTTCTTGCTGCAGAATGTTTGGTATGTGCAACCATCAAGAAAACTAGCTTTCATATCCCCAAACCAACAAGAGGCAGCTAAACGTCTATAAACATAAACATCTACAACCTGGAATAATTCAAATATAACAAGTATAAATAAACATATCACTCTGCATAAATCTGCAATAACAAACTCCAAACCAAGATTTACAAACTGGCCTACACTGGAACCACCCCACACCGACCCCCCACCACCACCTCACTAAAAAACACCACATACACACACACACACACACACACTCACATACACACCAAAGGAAAGAAACTGCAGAAAAGAAAACTTGCCACGACAAGAGAGCTGGTCACAAAATACCACAAGCCTTTGATCTACCAGACAGGAACAAAGACATAATCCATGTTTCATAGAAACCAAACACATAGAGGAACACACACACACACACACACACACTTTATGCCATGGTTGACTGCCAAGAGAGAGAAGAGGCCGCCTATTATCAGGGAAAGGAAGACTATTGGTTCAAAAATATCAGAGGATTTCCAATCCAGTAAACCTGAAATCTGCTGTTACTTGATACAGACTGCATTTAAGAGAATTTTTTCTCAGAAATGGAATATAATATTCATAGGTATGTTTCATAATCACCTGAATGTAGGAATCATTATGTTTTCTTTACCTTAAAATTAGCCTTTTTTTTAATCTACAGACACCCCAGGTCGCCTTCCATCGAGTCCACCAGGTTGAACCACCATGTTTCTACAGTAGCCAACTGACAAACCAAACACTGGCTGTAGACAGAGCCTTTCACGTTTTTTGCTAGTTTCGTGGACACCATAGTTTCTTCTCATTCCCAGGTCATCAAATACAGACACGAGCGGTGTTCAGTTAGTCTGCAATCTGCAACTTCACCACTAGATGCCACTAAATCTTAAACACTGGTCCTTTAACAGAAAGCATTACGAACTGGAGATGTGGATTTTTAAAAGAAATGGTAATTCAGGAGGCTCAGAAGATCTAATAAAAGATGAAGAGTTCATCTCATTCATGGGAAATGTAGGATTCAGCATTTTTTGAGGCTACTTTGATTTTGACCATTCTTTTCAAATATTTCTCTTGTGAGACCCTTTTACTTTATGAAAGCGAAACACACACTAACTATGATCTTTGTTCATACCTGGGAAGGTAGAGAACTGGTGAGACAAGCACATGTGCTCTAACTTCTAGCAACTAAGTGGGACTATTTCAGTCTTCACGTGGCCCACAACCCACTGCCTGTGTGTGTAGAAGGAGAGAGAGAGAGAGAAAGAGAGAGGAGCAGATGAAAAATGGGACTGTCTTGTTGACCCTTTCAACATCAACTCCAATAAAGCAGAAAACACAGAAGGAGCTTTGAAGTCTAACAGGACTTACTGAAGTGCCTCCCAGTCACTTTGACCCCACAGTGGAACCCCTGGGCTCCGGGTCGCTATAGAAACAGCTGAAATAGTTTTTCATTTTTTTCTGTTTTTTAAGCCGACCTTGCTCCCGGGGGTCACGTTGAGGAATGCTGCACAGCTACCTGAGTTCAAAGCGCCCGGTTTAGCCGGACGAGAAAGAGGAGAGGTGAGAAGAGGAGGAGGAGGAGGGAGAGGAAGAGGGAGAAACTGAAATGAGAGGACAAAAGAGGGGAGAAAAAGGGATGATAACTGCCATAAAGTTGGGAGAGGAAAACATGAGGAGGGAAACTTAAAACTGAGTAGGGGCACAAGAGGGGACAGGAACAGTAAGAAGCAAGCTACAGTAGAAAAAAAAGGGAAGGGAAAATGAAAAGAACTGAGGAATGTGAGGAAAGAGAATGAGAATGACAGCAAAAAAATTATTGGGG